AGAGTTTTACCACTGTAAAATCTTTCAGTGCAGTAAACACCTTAACGTTTTTCCTTAATGAAGGGAAACGTTCAAGGCATTTTGTGCAACACCTTTGAGTAAGTCCCTCAACACTAAACCGCTGGAGTAGTCCTCTGAGATCCTCCACAGCCGATGCTGCGCTTAGAGGGAGCAAACCCCAAACAAAGGTTTCATTTCAGTCAGAACAAACCAGTTGACACACACTAAGCCCAGAGTTCTGGGCCCCCTGGGATTAGTCGTCCAGCCTCTGAGTTCTGAGTTCCTCCCCGATGTCTTGCTTTGTCATGTCACATGGTGTTTTTGCTCCATGATTGATTTTCTTTCCTTCTCTCCGCATCTATAATCTAAGACAAAACTATTTTTGCTCTCTCAGAAAGAAAAGTCAAAATACCCCCAAATCATATCCATGGAGACGGCACAACATTGTTATTAACCCGCCTCCTCAGCTCAATTATAATTGGTTAAAAGTCTTTGTGAGTTTTAATTACAGTAACAATTGTGTTGGCAGGTGGCTTCGTGACTTTACCTAAAGTGTAGTTTTATGTGACTGGTTTTGACTGGCTGTACGTGTGGAATGTGAACAAATTCAAACGACGTCTCCTTCCAGAAACAAAGATGTGGTTGCTGCCAATAATCCACACACCTGTCGACAGTTTTCATTGGGAACTATTTCTTAAAAGAAAGAAAAACACCCGGGCAAACTGTTGACAAGTGTGGTCTGTAGATTGTTCCGAGTAACCAGGACATTGTTTCTGGAAAAAACACATTCCTCGTTGATGCTGGAGGAAACCACAAATGAAATTCCATTTACCTCCATTGTATTGGGATGTGGAAAAATATTCAGCAACAATTATTTCAAACACTCTGCAAGTAAAACGCAGACCATGAAATACTTTCCTTTTAAATGTATTTGAGTCGAGCAGTATTTTTATTTTAGGATGCAATAACAGCCATGCTAACAGACCTGACACGTCACAAAAAGAGCCACATTAACTTTCAAGATACAGAACATTTCAAGTACAGTTTTCCTTTCACCAACAGACAGGGACGTGGGTCTTTTGTTGCACTTGCTTCCAAAGCCACCAGACCACCGGGGGAAAACTGTTCACGGACTAGATAGACCAGATGTGAGGCAATGTTACACTTTCAGCTTGATTTTCTCACTAAAATCTCTCACAACAGAATCCTCTAACTGTCCAGCTGCCATAATAAGGAAAGGAGAAACTCTGAGTTGGTAAAAATGTAAATGTGCTCACTTCAGTCGCTGTCAATTACCGCCTGCAATCACAGCAATAAGCCTAACAAGCCGCAGAGGGGTTGATGGACTTTTTGCCCTGGGTTTAACCTGAGTGGAAGACTGCAGGCACTACTCGGGGCTAGAAAGGCCACATTCACCCTTTTTGCATGTTTTTGAGTAAAAAAAAAAGCGTGTATATGTTTTTAGCACATTTCAAAAGCTTGTGTATGTTTTTTATCAGACGCAAAAGCCTCCACAGATTTTATACATCAAAGTCTGTTTACAGGTTGTTGGGGAGTACTACTGCACATGTGAAAAGTTCTACGTAAATTGCCTTTTGTGTGTCTCCATAAAAGGCTGTGTGATGTCCCATTGATCTCATAAATGTCCGTAAATGATGTCACTCGGGTGACATCATTTACGGACTAATCAGAGGGGTGTGGAGTAATAAAGAGGTGAGCTCACCACACCTCTGTATTCCGTTCCTTATCTCTTGATAATGCTAGAGGCTAAATTAGCCGCTACTAGCATAAGACACCGGAATCTTCGACTGAACTGTCTGCAGTCGAGATGTAATTCTGAGCGATGTAGGCGGCAATAAAAAAGAAAATATCTCTAGAACCTGTTTATTCTAGATCGATTGTTATCCTTTTAAAAAAAACATCCCTCGATGTTGTTGTTGTTGCAGACTGTGATGCTAAATCAGTGGAGTACTCTTCTAAAGTTACATATAGAGCAGGGGCCCCCAACTGGCGGACCACGGTCCGGGTCCGGACCCAGACGCAATTGCATCCGGAACCAGGACATAAATCCGATTTGGAATTATACATATTAGACAGTGAGTTTATACTTTAACCGGCGCATGTTATTCAGCCGTTACGGCACTTGTTCAGCGGTGCAGGAAACACACCGACCAATGCGTTGTAAATCACATCACGTGATGCAGCTCAGCCAATCAAATATGGGTATTCTGACATGTTTCCTGACTCGAGTGAGATTTACACACACCGTGACACACGGGCTGAGATGAGGAAATAGAAAGAAGAGCAGGAACATTGCGCTGATCAGAGAAGTTATCTCACATGATGTTCTCCAAAAAGAGAAATGTGTTCAGAGAGAATAGAATTTACAAGTAAGAATGAACAGAATCTTCTATGTTAATCTTCCCACAGGCAGTTAAAACCAGCATGTCTCATATGTTCAGAAACCGTAACTATTGATAAAAGCGGCAAATGAAGCGCACTACGAGGCAAAGCACAACTCTTTAGAACAAACGTACCCACTCACATCTGAAATGAAGACACAGAAAATAAGAAAAAAGAGCCCAATATGATCAGAATCCTAACACATGAATTCACTGTTCAATGATGTTAACAGAGAGAATAGAGCTGAAACAAGTCTTAATAACCACAGATAAAGTCCATGCTCACTGATTTATCTTTTTAGAAGATGACAAAAATATAATATTGTGGCTTTTTTATTGACATCACTTCACACCTGAATGAACTGAATTTAAAGCTGCAGGACAATTCAGTGAAATTCATTTTTCTAAAATGAAGTACTTTATTTTAAAATGCACATTTTTGAAAAGCTTTCTGTTATGTCAGTTATTCTTTAATCCAGACATTATTTTACTTGAAATGAGAAGAACATTTATTTATGTATTTCTATGTATTATTTATAATCCATCCAGTTAAATTCGAAAACTGAGAATAATAATTTGTTAAAATATAATTGATGTGTACTTTCTTAATTTGATTTGACAGTTGTTGACGACACAGAGACGTTACTACTAGACTTCTTGAATATATATGTATATATATGGCACTAAATAGTGCAAATTAGATATTATTGTAATGTTTCGGACCTTTGCCTGAGGAGATTTTCTCAATCTGGACCTTTTGGAATTTTAGTTGAATACCCCTGGCCTAGAGGGAATTTCATCAAATTTGGCATAAACATCCATTTGGACTCAAGGATGAACTGTCGCTGTGACCTAACAAAACACAATTTTTGACCATTGCTCAATAATTCATATGCTTATTGTCTAATAGGATAAAAATTTGGACCGACATGGATGTAAACTGCTATTTTATTTTACAACCAAAACATCCCGGGTTTGATTCCAGCCCTGGGACGTCTGTTGCATGCAGGTCAACCTCCGGGAAGTCTGGTTGTATAGAAGTCTATGAGAAAATGACTCTACTTCTCTCTTGATTTATTACCTCAGTAAACATTGTAAACATGAGTTTATGGTCTCAATCTCTAGTTTCAAGTCTTCTTCAATACAGCATGATGTTCATTTAGTAAATTATGGTCCATTTAGAGTCAAAGAGACCATAAAGCAGAGTATGCTTTAGGGTGGGCTTACTGTGATTGACAGGTCGCTGCCGCTACCAGAGCCATATATGGTATCTCGATGTCACTCCTCCACATTCCAAATATGGTAACGTCCATCATTAGTTACGAAAATAACAAAATGCCGACAGCCGTAATCCAAGATGGCGATATTGCCAAACTCAAGGCTTCAAAACGGCAGTCCGCAAACCAATGGGTGACGTCATGATGTCCACTTCTTTTATACAGTTTATACAGTCAAACCCTCCCCCCACCCATTTGTACACTGTCCTCTGTGAAATAAAGGCAAAAAATGTCCCAAAAAAGGAGATATAACTTTACGCGTGAGCTCCATGTACAGTATGTCCTCATCCGTGCAGAGACTGTCCATCTCTGCAGTGTTGGTGAGCTCAGTGTGAGTGCGGCTCTCAAAGAATGGAACGCTCCAAACCACACACATCAAACTCCAGGGCATTCTAACTCGGCCTTGCTTTCCAGTGCATCAAACACTTTCTTGTTGTTATTTCCATTTCTTATGATTAAAGTTCAGCATGATTATTTATTCCCCCCAGAATATATATATATATATATATATATATATATATATATATATATATATATATATCATTTTTTAATTCGCTTTCACATTTATAGGTTTGAGGTGGGTTTTTTTCACCAGATAGTGCTAATCAGGCATATTAATATTTAGGGGGAAAGAAGCATTCTGGTAATAACTGTGACAGCAGCACATTACGGTTTCGGGGGCTGAGGCACATCAAAGGCCTGCTTGAAAAGCTGTTTATTTATTTGTTGTTTTGAACCAGAAACCACTTTTTGTGTGTGACCTTGTTTCTGCGTGAACTCAACACATTAACTGTGCTTTGTGTTTAAGCTCACAGGTAGAAAAAAAAATACAAATAAAAAATAGTATCATCTGACCTTGCACATTCTGAGGCGCAGATAACAGGGAGAACTGCTCATAACGAGCCTGCTTTTTGAGCATTTTGATGTCTGAACGGTTTATCGGTGCTATTACACGTTTTGGAGTGTGCCTGCATGCACTACTGTTGCAGTGTGGGCGTTTTTTTGTGTTTTTTTGTATGACCACCTCTTGTAAACATGTACTTTTATCAAAATGGTGATTTTTTAAATTTTTTATTTTAATTCTTTCCATTTTTGGTTGACACAGCTTTTCACAACACAATTCTACGTCTTCGCAGTGTTTCAGCTACGGAGGAGCAGATCGATCACTCGTGTTGTTCCTTAAAAGCAATAAAGACTCACCTACCTTGAATGAGCAAAATGTTTTGGTTTGTTCAAAGGCCGTGAATTCTAGTCAGAAAACGAAACGCTTGAAATACTTGTGCTAAGAAATGTCTCCTCTCCTTCTCCCTTGGCTCCGCAGAGTGCAAGTTCCACTGCACCAATGGGAATTGTTTGCGTCTGGGCTCGCTGATCTGCAACCAGCTGAATAACTGCGGGGACAACAGCGATGAGGAGAACTGCCCCGTGGTCACCCAGCACCCTCCGCCGGGCATCTTCAACTGTGAGTGCCGCAGGGCGCCCTGCGCCCTCTGTACCTCCGATAACACACTTCCTTCCTGTCCTCTCTGTTGTCTTCAGCTCTGTCCTCTCCCTGGGGGTCTCTTTGTTGATACGATGTGGATGCCGACCTGGGGGTCTTTCTTTTTAAGGCGTGGAACTTGAAATACAACTTTCCGCCGAGTGCGATGAGTTTTCTAGGATCCAACTTTTGTGGCATGTAGAGACAAAAACTCCTTCATCAGCAACAAATTGACTAAAGAAGCTACTTATTTCTTCATAAAACCTTCATTGTATATTCAAGAAACAATAACCATTAGTTTTAAAACATTAGTAGTCACAAACGGAGTCGCATCACAGGAACATCTGAGAAGTCGTTGAAAAAAAACATGTAAGTCTGTGATGAGGAAAAGAAAGGTAGCACAAAATGATTCAAATTGATAAGGAACATAAAAAAAGGAGCCAATTAAGTGCTCGTTAGGTTTCATTGTCCTACGCACCTGTTTGTCTGCCAGAGACTCAACAGTCACACAACAGATGCGCTTCCATTTGTATCAAATGTAACAACTTGACCGCCTCATGGTGAGCTGGGTGAAGGAAATGAATCTATTCATTATTAAAATACGTTTTCTTTTTTATCTGCTTCTCATGAATCCCTACCACTACAAATTTCTTTTGTCCATTTCATTTCAGAAATTACTCCCCAACGTCAAATCTCTATAAATAGATTTACATGTGCGTGAGTACAGAATCTCTATGGCAACAGGACAAGGTGTTGGTATCAGACGCGTTCTGGTGTCTGTTTGTAGTCTTGAGTAGTATTGACCAATAACGTATGAGCAGGCTTTGGTTAAATGCAAGTTAACAGTCCGTGCGGAACCCACCGACTATTGTCTGACAACGATTTAGTTTTTTGTCGGTATGAAAAACATTCTGCTAACAGTCACATTGGTTCCTCTTCAACACGACTGCTGAGTTTTAGTTGCCTATAAGCTTAACCAAAGCTCAGATCAACAAGGACTGCTGAGTGGAGCCACTGAGACGGACCTGTTGAGCAGTAGATTATGTACTATTCGTGGCTTGTCAATTCAAAGCCAACATGGCACCATATACTTATACAGTAGCTGGAGGTCAACACACTATAGACTGCCATAGGATAGGTCTCCCATAGAAGCACTACAGGCGTTTTTTGAGACATACATTTTTTTCCCACCTTTCCATTTCTGTGCAGTTTTTGTTTGAATCTCTTTGCTGCTTTCATAAGAACCCACCCATCACCACCAACCACCGCCCCCTGCCCCCCGTCGAGCAGCACTGTCCAGGGACTGAGATGAGAGTGTTCCCTCGACAGGTCACGATCAATGGAAACACAGAGAGAGAGAGAGAGAGAGAGAGAGAGAGACGGAAAGATGGGGAGACAGAAAGAGAGGGAGACGGAGGGGAAGAGAGCGAGAGGGTGAAGGACACCAATGGGCTCCGATGGCTGTCTGCCAGGCCACTTTGATGTGCTGCAGCATTCTCTTTCAACAACTTTTAGGAGGAGAGGGAAAACTTTTTTACAGCAGCACTTTCATCCTCGGCTCTCTCTGTGTGTGTGTGTGTGTGTGTCTTGGGGGTTACCTACCTTCCCCCTCCCTCCATCCCTCCCTCCCTCCTTCATTCACTCCCTCACCGCGAATGCGTTTCACCTCTCAAACCCGCCAACCATGTTGTTTTGTAAATTTATCTCACTTTCTTCTCTTTTTCGACTGCCCTTCTTTTCCCTCCACGAGGCACTAGGAACGACCTTTTTTTAATTATCATTATTATTTTGGGAGGGACAGGTCGGGAGGAGGGGGGGGAGATAGAATCCTGAGCCGGGTACTTAAAATATTTAGCTGTCTAGAGCGAATGTTAATGTAAGTGTCTGCGGCCGGCGTTGTGGGAAAAGCTGTACGATGATTGTAATTTTCTGAGCCGGCGCACATTTTCTGGTGATGCCTGAGAGACAGCGAGGGAGGTATGGAGAGAGAGAGAAAGAGAGAGAGAGAGAGAGAGGGAGGGATGGAGGGAGGGATGGCTGGAGGTAGAGAAAGAGAGAGAAAAAAGGAAAAAAGGAAAGGTGGAGATTGCCAGAAAGAGTGGCAGGGGATTGAAGAGGGTGCAGACAGACTAAGAGGGAGAGGAGAGAGAAAAGGGGGAGCTGGAAGTGAGACAGAGGGCCAAACAGAGAAATGGTGGTGGACAGAGAGAGAGAGAGAGAGAGAGAGAGAGAGGGACATAGAAAATGTTTCTGTAGTAATGGGGTTTGCCATCTTGTTGTAGCCGCTGGCTGTTGCCGTGGCAGTGGCAGACAGATGGATCATGAATACTGTCTAGACACACTGCAGCCTGACAAACTGCCCCCCCCCCCCAACCAACACACACACACACACACACACACACACACACTTTCTCTCTAGGGCCGCGGAACTGGCTTCCCTAAATGCAACGCAGTCGTTATTAATGCTGTTAATTACACCTGTGTTCTTCCTGCAGACACTGGGGACATGTTGAATCCAATGGAAGGCAAAAGTTAGCGAAATGTTTGTTGCCCATAAAAGCTTGTTTTAATGTGCTATTTAACTTTTGAACAACGAAAATACACCTTCTTCCTCTTTCAAATGAAAAGATGAATTTTAAAACATATACACTCGGGGGTTTCCTGCTACAGCCTCGCTCATGGTGGCTAACGGTACCAGAGTTAAAGGTGCTAAAATCAACATTCAGAGCATTGATACAGCAGCGAACAACTATGTGCAAAGTAAAGACATAGTGTAGTAATATCTGGGTCCCCCCTCAGGTTAACACTGCTAGCTCTGTCAGCACTGTTGCAGCTGTTTGCACCGTGAGCACTGTTAGCATGTTGAGAGCAGTGTGGAGGCAATCCCTCAATCGTAGATGAGCTCTGAATTTCCTATTTAGCACCTTCAAAGTAAATATGTTTGTATAATGAACATCTCGAAACAGTTTACTCACTCACACTATTTTTCCAACTTTTCTTCATCTGTACTGATATTATCCCTTAACTGTCACTGAGTGGATGCTGATGAGCAAAGGTGACATCGTTTAGCTTTAGCTTTGCAGTGTTAGAACATTGCATGCTGAGCCTGCGGCCTATTTTGAAAGGGATACTAACATTGTTCCGCAAGCGATCAAGGTCTCACAGTTTGTTATCAAAAACCTTCATCTCTATGCTAAATGACCAAGCAAGGAAGGCATGAATACGACGTAACAAAACCTTTCAGCGTTTGCATACCTTGCAGCAGCCACAAAAAATCGAGCGTTAGTTTTCTGTGGAAATGCTGCTGCTGAGCACACTGTGGCTCGGAACTGTTGTGAAATACACATTATTGGATGTTATTTATGCAATATACCTTTACCCATATCAATGTTGTCACTGCGTTCATTTTTCCCTTTAACATGTATGCATCCGTTTGGTGGTCTTATGAAGAGGAGGCTGCAGATTCCATGCACACACTGTTCATACCACACCGCATGTTTGTGTAGGTAGACGTGTTTATGCGTGTAGTGTGTACAGTCATCGATATACAGTCACAGATATTTTGGACAAGGCCTTTAAAGCCCCATTTGGACTGGATTAACATTAACAGATGGGTAATGTACCGCTCTGTCAATTTAAACGTCATTTCAACCATCACAAAATTACAGCATGTGATCTGTAATAGACATTCAGCAGGACAAGGCCAAAAGCCATCGTGCGTGGGGCGCAGGAGATTTGAAGAGCTTGACACTCTAGGTACCCCTCTAGCGTCTAGTGCATAGTGTCTTCTATGTTTGTAGGAAACGTACAGTTTTCTGCTCGTTCTATCCATACAGTCTCTTTTCAAAATAAACTTCCAACGTAGGTATAATTTGTTTTTAGGTTTACTTGGTTGGGTTTACGCAACAAAAGTACTTAGGTTAGGTTCAGGAAAAGATTGTGGTTAGGGTTAAAGTATGTACGTTAGTCTTTGCGAGTGTCCTTGTGTCTCTTTGCAGCTGTTTTGCATGTCTTTGTCGTCGTTTTGGTCTCTTTGTAGTCATTTGTGTCTCTTTGTGGTCGTTTTATGTTTCTTTGTGGTCGTTCAGAGTCTCTTCCTAGTGGTACATGTCTCTTTGAGTGACATTTCGTAGGTGAAGGCCCCTGACACATTGAGCCCCTTCGGTCCGTGCCAGGTACTCCCTTTCAGTAACCCATCCTTGGATACAGATCGTCAGAAAGAATCTCCTACCTGCTTCTATCCAGCTTTTATGTTCTTGTCCATTAGGGGGTGAAGCACCACAGTAGCACTACTCCAATATGTGTCACTCTCCAGGTAGCAGGCAAGACCCATGAGGAGATCTAAGTGATCTATGAGTAGTGGCTGTCTAAAGCACCATTTAGCCGACGCACAACATTTGAGGAAGACTGCATGTTTTTTCAGAGGGTGTACCTTTATAGATCAAGGGGGGAAGGCTACATGGCGATTCACTTTTGCCAGACTTGTCTTGGCTTTCTTCCCTTGTTAGGCTCCGCTGACTTGTGAGGAGGGGACAGGGAAGGAGACCAGAGGACGGTCTGGATCGATGTACAACTCTAGCTTAGCCATTGATTCCAGTCCGGTGTGAACGACACTTCAATAGCATCGAGCGGGGCCTCCAGGCTCGCTGATTGATTCTGTTTGTGTTGGAGATTCCTGTCTGTGAAGGCTTATTATTGACTACTCCATTCCAGACTGTCTGAGTGCCTTAGACACTTGTATATGAGGCAATACAGTTGCTTTTTCTCACCATTCTAAGAAGAATTTAAGGTCACTGCTGTGTTGGCAGTAAAGCTCCTAACTCTGTCGTAGGATGGAAGGTTGTCCCTGCCTCCTTTTTCCCTTCTGGGTTTTAGTTGACTTTATAATTTTTTCTTTTTTGTTCGTCAGTATATGATTTCAGTCCATCTTATTTATCCTGTTATCAGAGTCATATCTGTTTTACAAAGATTGAAAAGCAGTT